TTTTCGCATTTCTTTGGACCTCATCGGTGGCGAAATTAGAAAACCTGAGGCTTCGAGGGGTTAGGTTTTTTGGGATCGCGACGAGGACGTCGCTATTTGTGTGGGTGGGCAGATGTAGTGGTACAGTAGCTGGAAGGGAAATTCAATTAGGGAATAGCTCATTCCCGGCACGTAAAACATGCGAGCTACACGTGTGCGCATGAGGCGAGGCATTATAATGCGGCTCCTCGCTGCTCGCCATCCTGCGCAACCTAACTCCCAGCCCCAACCGCAATGGCACATAAAACTTCCAGTTCCGAAAGCCTCATGGGCCTACAACGCTTCGAGGACTATTACCTCCTCGGTGGCGACCTCTATTGCATCGTACGACGTTCTTGGGCATCCTTGCTCTATCCTTGGCTGACATTTCCATATAGGCCGAGAACAAGCTCTTCCGGATGCACCGCTACTTTTTCGAGCGCGAGTCGACATTCTTCAAGGCGCAGCTGGCGATCCCAGCGACACCAGGAGCGCCTCGCATCGGGACAACGGACGGTAGTGCGATTCTCCTGGACAACGTCCGGAGTGCGGACTTCTCCAAACTACTATGGATGTTTTACAGACCGTGAGTCATGTATGTCGCTGCGAGGGGCCCGCCTACGCTGATCATTCATCCACCAGGAAATATTCGCTCTACGACGCAACGGTCGAGGACTGGTCAACGATCCTCGAGCTTGCATGCCGCTGGGAGTTCGCCGAGGTCAAGAGCCTCGCGGTTCGTGAGCTCGAGAAGCTTGAGCTGCCGGACATCGATCGGATCGTGCTGTACCACAAGTTCGCCATCGACCAGTCTTACTTGATTCCGCGATACATGGCCCTCTGCGAGCGGCCAGAGCTCCTGACGGTCGAGGAGGGGATTTGGCTGGGCATGGAGACCGTCATCTCCCTAAGCCGTGCGCGCGAGTGCGCGCGGAATCAGGCTACCAGCGGCGGGCGCAGCCCGTCCCCCGCAACTCTCGGTGGCACGGAGCTAACGGAGATCATCAAAGACCACTTCAATACGATGATCGCGTCCGCGCAAGTCTTCTCCCCGCGCCAGCCTCCCGACCCGCGCGAGAACCTCCGCGTCCTCCAGTCCCCCTTGCGCGCACCGTTCCCACGCGCCCGATCCGCACCTGGCACCCCGTCGCCTAAGCCACACACCGCCTCCGCCTCAAGCGACAGCGACGGTAATGAGGCAGAGACCACCACGTTCGTGCAGGGCGCACACCCGCGCGTCGAAGAAGAAGCGAGGGACCTCGTCATCCTCGAGAACGTCGAGCTCGCGGCCCCCGCGCTGGCGCAGGACCGCGGGCGCCAAGGCGGCAGCGTGGCCCCGCCACCGAAGACACCCCGCCGCCAGAGCCTGCACCGCGCGGTGCTCATCCGGAGCGCGCAGCGTGCCGTTTGGGCTGCCATCGCCGCCGCCACCCCCAGCTCCACCTCCAATTCCAGCTCCAGCGCGTCGACACCGAAGCCGGGACCAGTCATTCGCGGGTGGAGCGCTGCCCCCGCCCACGCCTCTGCTCCGTCGCTGTCGCCCGCAAGGCAGGGACGCCCGCCGCTTTCGCCCACCAAAGACAAGCACGCAACCCCGGCGCATGAGGACGACACGGAAACCGACACGGACACAAAGGAGGAGGAGGCGGAGGTGCGCACACTGGGCCTCGAGTAGGACAGGCTAAAATTATGATTATATTCCATTATAATTTAATGTAATTGAAATATTACGATTAAATACTGTCGGAGGCGTAATATTAGGCCCAAGTACGTATACGGACGACCTCAATGTCTTTGGATATGTAAAGCCTTCAAGATTTGACTGTAATCAATGGCATTGGAATGGCAGGTAGCTGCAGTACCTACTTACATAGGACGGGACCGAGGCGGGGAGAGGGTTTTTCGTCGCAGCAGCGCAGCGTGCCGGCGCATCAAGAAAACCCTTTGCTACCCGTTGCCGGGCCGCCGATGACGTCGCCTGATTGATCTGAGTTCCCGTTTCAGACTCGATCCCCGCCCAAAGCTGGGCAGCGAAAGCCTCATGGTGCCGTGCAAGAGCAACGCGCTGCTCACGGCTCATATCGCGCGTAGCTCGCTCGACAGTGGACTCAGTGTCAGACTCAACATCAGAACTTGAGTTATAAACAATATTGTTATTGGTATTATTGTTTTTACCAAAGTCCTTACATTCACGATGGGAACGCGATGTCTTACGAGTAACGGGAGTCCAGCCCCCGCTCTCATTCTGTACAGGCGCTGGTGCATCACCAAGCACGCCATAGTCCACCGAGTGGCCCAAAGGCGATGGCAACTCGGAAGAAATTCCTCCAGCATGTGAAACGCCGGACTGTCTCGCCACCGAAGTGACGGATGATCCCAACGCCGAAGCGTGGGTGGGTCTCGCTGCCGAAGCAACGGATCCTCGCATTGACGAATCAATGGAGGCGGGGTCCAGCAGTCGTTCGTCTAGCTGTTCGAGGTTCCATTTTCTTTGGTGATGACCTGGCCTTTCGAAACCGGAATCTCACTGACAATGTCCCCTTCTTCCAAGGAGGTTTAAATTGCAACGGCGTTCGACCGTAACAGCATTGGTGCGTACATGGGTTTGCTTCTGGATGGGATGCCCAGTACAACTTGCAGGAGTGTTTCTATAGCCAGTGTGATGAATATAATGTTTGAAACTGGTATTTCAACGTGTCCAGCAGCCTAGTACTCAGTCCTGGGATAGACTAGCACTCTATCATGACCTTATTGACGGGTTTTATCAGTTTATCCAACTGAAAGGTCGCAAAATTGGATTATTTTAGGCATGTTCAATTTCATGCCTCATCATCGAAGTATCCGCTCGCCATCGCCTACGAGATTCTTCGGGCCTTTGGCCGTGACATCGGCCTTGGGTACAACATCGGCTGTGGGTTCAGCACCACACTTTGGAAGAGCCCCCTCGGGCCGACCGCCTTTCTTCAAAACCTTACCTGCCTCGTTGGCGCTTTTCACGGCCATGCCCACAATCGGTTGTGCCAGCTCCGTTTCTTGGTGACCTACATCCTCGGAATGGGCTTGGAGGACCTTGAGGGGTGTGGGAGATTTTTTTCCAGATCCAACGCCATGGCCGGATCCGTCCACTACGCCAGTGTCTTCCACCGACTCCAGACACTCACAACTTATTTTGGCCACTTCGATACCCATGAGACATTTGCAAACCTTAGTATGTCCTCTTCACCTTCAATTACAATTGTTAACCCGGGATCTTCAGGCAAATTCATTGTTGACAATTACTGGCAGGCGCTGGAGATCCTGGAGGGTGAGGAGGGGCTCAAGATCGCAATGGTGGCCGCCGGAATCGCTGATGTGGACGAGTTCTCAGCTCAGTTGGTGGCAGAGCTTGAGTATCTTCAAAGTTTCACCTCAGACACGGAGGAAGATACTGACCAGATGGAGTACTATCAGCGACTCGTGAATCTGGACGACCGGAAGTGAATGAGTACGATTTTCATGGAGAGCAATTCTGACTATGTCCCCTTCACCTCTGCGTCCCCTTTTCCCCCTGTCCCCTTCACCTCGAATACCGTGTATCCCGTCCCCCTAAAATGACCCCTTTTGTCCCCTTCCCCTTGGATTCCCTGTCCTCTTTTCTGTTCCACCTCGCTCAAACAAGAACCAAGCTGGACACCGCTCTTGCGGAGGGTTCCACAGCATCAGCTACGGTCAAGCGACATGCTCGGGAGAACTACGATAAGGCACTGAAGGAGGTGCAGGAATCCGAGGTAAAGATGAAAATCGAGACACGGTGGCTACAAACTGGCCCAGAGTGGGCAGAAGCGGCGCACCTGGTCAGCATGAAGCGGTACCGCCTCACCCTTCTCAAGCTGGAGCTCCTAGTCGTTCAGCGTATGTTCGAGTTAACAAAGATGAACCTTTCCCAAACCGGTAAGTCATCCGCTTCTCACGTCGTGCAGCTGACCGAGGTGCATATAGGGTACAAACTTCGAACCCACATTGCGAAAGCACTCCAGGCACGGTCCCAGGCGATCCGAAATGCCCTCAAGAGCTACAACGCTGCCGCCACCGCACTTGTCCCCGCTGGGAGGAAGCTGAGCTGGGCCGAAGTCATCGAATACACCTTTCTTGCAGACTTTGACCTTCTCCGAGATCCTGAGAGGATCACAGAAGTACGGCCATGGGCTTCCCCTACTGCACGAATCCTCCTGGACAAGTACTTCAAGATCGAACGCGCTCGGGAGGAGATCAAGAGGTGCAACATCGAGATCCAGCGGCTGATAACGAGCATGCACGATGAGAAAGAGTTTTTGCGTACCAAGGAGGAGAGCTTGCTGCAGACGAACCCGGGCCTTGCGTGGTGCATCAGACATCACCGTCTTCAAAGGGAAAGATACGATGAGATGCACATGAAGAGATTTGCGAAGCTGGCGGCAAAAGCTGGGCCACGGTTCACAGGAAGCCTGGAGCCCGGTGTTCGAGCATGGGACGGACTGCCTGTACAACCAATGGATGGCGTGGAGGTGCCGAGGGAAGACGAAGCTCGGGCGATGGAGCTTGCCAGAGAAATGGAGGCCTTGGGCGTCCAGGACGATGATCCTGATATCGATGACGATGTGGGGGAGAGGGAATCGGGGGAGCGTCTGGCGGAGGACATCCACACTGTATATGGTATCTGATGATTAGTCACACGTGTTTGTATTTTTTTTGTGCTTGCTCCAATGTCATGCTTTGCGAGGTATTCACGGTGGGGGGGACATGTCCCCTTAGTTTGAGTGAAGTAATGTGGTAAAGGGGACATCATCGCAGGGAGACGGTGAGGGTGGACATGTCACCCTTGTGTGCGTCCCCTCCCCGCCGAAAAAATGAAATTTTGTTGTGCTGGGCAGGAAGTACTATAGTGGTGGTACAGACCAAGTCACGAAGACTAACAGAACTCGGCGAAAAAGAAAAAAGAAAAAAAATTCGATCATGCCTCCCCATGGTCTCAGCGTGAATCGAACATGCAGACTCCGGTGTAACGCACGTTCGCTCTCGCCATGAAAACCGGTGCTCTACCACTGAGCTACGAGACCGCGGCATGCACTATATTATTTCCTTTCTTTATTCAAAAGGAGACAAGCGGCTGCTCGGCCGCTTTACGGCCTCGCACCCCCTCCATGAAGTGTGATTTTTGAAGTTGCACGCTCCTTGCTATGAATTCTTTTCATGGTTTAAAGGTGGTTTGAAGTAAACAAATGAATTGCGGAAGATGCTCGGGCAAAGAAGCTGATTGACAGATGGCGGAGTTTGAACAGGCTTCGGACACCCGTAATTTTAAAAAGAGGGTGACACATGTCCCCCTCACCGTGGATACCGCTACTCACAAACAAGACAAATGTCCCCTCACCACGGATACAAAAATAATGTCCGCAGTGGGGATTGAACCCACACCTCCAGCGGAATAAGGATGTAGCTACGCTTAGAAATGGCAGGTGTGCTACCACTACACCATTGGGACAATATAACTTTTCTTTAGAAAAAAGAAAATCTTCAGTACAACTGAATGTCACCAGCGGGATTCGAACCCACGCCTCCTGCAAAACAGGAGCTGATGTGGAAAGCTTCGCCAGTGTGCTAACCACTACACTATGGTGACATTATTGGAGATTGTAGCCATCTATATGACTCCATATTCCAATGTCGAAGCCTATTCAGAATATTTCTATTTTTATAAGAGTAACTTACTCGTCACTCTTGTGTGTGTCCACCTCCCCTCCGATACCTCACACCCACCTCTCTAAGTCGTTATGTCCCCTTTGACCTTCAGTGGGGAGGTGGTGAGGGTGGACAGGGTCCCCCTTGCCTGTGTCCACCTCCCCTCCGATACCTCACACCCACCTCTTTACAGCTGTTTAGAGAAAAGAATGGCCTTTTTGATGAAGTGGTGCTACTCGTTTTTTGTTTACCATTGATTGCTGCCGCTTCTTTGTTGACCGCACATTTTGAAAGCCCTCTGCGAAATTGGCTTGCACGCCGTGAATGTTGAGGTATAGAGCGATTACTTGGTATTTTATTGGAAGAGATACACTGTGTGTGGGTCCAGAAATACAAAGTTATAGCGCAGACGAGGCTCAGAGGTGTGGAGCAAGTGTGGAGCATTGGTATAGCCGACGCTAGCCGAGGGCAAATCAGTCAACAGTGGTAAGCAAAAATCGAGTAGCACCACTTCATCAAAAAGGCCATTCTTTTCTCAAAACGGCTGTAAGTCGTTATGTCCCCCTTGACCTTCGGCGGGGAGGCGGTGAGGGTGGACAGGGTCCCCCTTGCCTGGGTTTTGCTCGAACTGTTACCATCGGCGGCACTATCACCTTGTTTCTAAGCCCGGAGCGTCGAATAAAAACACCAATGTCAAGTCCCTTCTGGCTGGTATCCTCGCCGGTCGCGAATCAGACACTGGGGGGAAAAAAAGCTAGCTCTTCCAAAGGCCGGGGATCGACATCCTCCCTGACATCGGTAGTCGCGTGCCCTCAGTGCTGCACACCGCGGGTCCAACGCAGGAATGCGACCAGTGAGTGACGGCGGGAAAAGTAAAAAAGGAAAGGTGAGCTGTTGAAAGTTGTTGCTGTTTTCCTACACCACTGTATTAAATGCATGACAGGGCAAGCAAGAGGTCAAGAAGAAAGATATGTTCAAAGTCGTATCGGTGCAGGTCCTTCCATGCGGTACAACAGTTTTTGTGAGTGCACTCATTCAGCCCGCTGTTGCGTGGTCAAGTCACGCTTTAATATTGATAGTACGCTGGGTATTGTCGAAGCTCTCCTGGAGAAATTGAAGAGCAAGGATGACGATGCAGTCTCGTCATCCTTGCTCTTCAATTTCTCCAGGAGAGCTTCGACAATACCCAGCGTACTATCAATATTAAAGATTTTCGTTATGAAACGGGCAGCGTGACTTGACCTTTCAGTCGCAGACCAAGACGTGGCTGGCTCCGCCGGTTTCGTATTTATTGTCGTTCTTAATGATCTCGATAAGGAGTTTGACGGCATCATCACCTGAAAGCAAGACGACATGATTTTTCCGTTTGCATCTCGGCACTCATACATGGATCATCGCACTTAAGTAAGAGTCCCCTGACTTGCTCAGGGGAGCCAAATTTCGATGAATCTAAGATGATGTTCCAATGTTTAAGTCAAGAAAGAAAAAAAAGCTTAATGCTGGCCTCACCATGCCGAAATGCATTGGCTAGAACTGTCGCCGTCTTATCAATAAACACCTCTTTCCAGCGGAGGTTGTACAACAAAAACGTACAATCGCTGTCTGCCTCCGCTGCTTCCAAAGTCGTCCCGAAATCTCTCGCGTCTGGTTCGTTATGCTTTTCGATCATGCACTTGATACGAGGATATTGATCGCTTTCTAACAGTTCAAGTACCTGTAATCCGATATGTCTTCGGACTTATGGTGAGCAAGGGAATATTCGTCCAGATGTTCTATGTTTTGGTGCTGTGGTGAGGGACGCGGTACTATTTCCTTTTCGGATATACCTAAAAATGCACTTTGGATTCATATGGCTCTATTTGATCGCTTCAGGCGCAGATAGCAAAGGTAGGAGTTGCTTGTCCATCTGGAGAGAATGAGGTTTGAGCAAGAAAATCGATATAAGTAAGTACGAATGACAGTAAATTTGAGAGGCAGCAGTAGAAAACGCGATACCATTCGATCTCATCGAGATTTTGTTGGTGGCTGGAAAACAAGGGCCCATGGCGCATGTCTGGAGAGATTGCGGTTTTTCAAGTTTTTCAAGATGAGAGAAAGAGGGGAAAAAAGAGAAAAAAGAGAGAATTATCTACAATTTAAAAAAGCTCATCCACATCAAAAATTAAATCTCAAACTCGCCTCGGGGCGTGCTAGACGTCTCATGAAATCTTGATAATCTTGATTCGCAAGCCCGCATTAGGGTAATTATTGATTTCAAGGTCCCAGTCCATCCGGGGGTTTGACCCCGGATGGACTGGGACCTCAGCCAATCGTTTCAAGATATTATCTAAAAGATAAGATTGCTCTGCGATCCAGGCAACCATCACCGTCATGTGACCATGTCCGTTGCCTTCACACCACCACCACCACCACCACCACCACCACCACCTCACGCACGGTGTAAACGCCGTGCATCCTCCTCTCCAATGCCGGCCTCGACGCTGCCCTCGATGCCGCTCCCGACGCCGCCCTGACGCCGCCGATACCGCCCTGACACCGCCCTCGATCCCACCTCCCTCAAAACGTAAGCTTTTTACCCGTTTAGGAAATGTCATTGGTGGGGAGGCGTGCGTCAGCCACAGGAATAGGCCCATCGACAGATCCTTTGTCCGGCATGTTCTCGAGGGGCAGGGGTGCAGATTCGGATAAGGAGATCAGCGACCTCTTGGCCCTAGGACCCACCCTGTTTGTCCAGGACACTGATAAATATGCATCCGAAACGAAATTGGTGTGTCGCATCCGGAGAAGGAAATAGTTAACCAATGACCTCGATGCCTGGACTCATAGCTTGCACAACTTGAGGTCTCAGAGTCTACTACTGTTCACGAAAAAAATGGACTAGAAATTCACCTGGCTGATTTCTATCTTCTTTCAAATGGGTAACTCGACTGTTTGGGGACGTTACACCGTGAATATTCGTAGTTGGGCCTCATTGCGCAGTCATGGTCAGGATTAACGTCAGCGCATTCCACGTCGGTATCCACTCCAATGTCTCTCGTCCCACACCAGGTGCCCTGGCACCCATCGTCCCCATGTCAAATGGTGACGTCCTCTGCTGGATCCAGTCGAGGTCAATATAGTCGCTTGTTACAAACAGCTTGAAGAACCCAGAACTCGATTCCTCGCAGGGCGGAAGAGTGAACTCAAAAGCGGGGTCGCTGCCCATGCCTATCGTCATGGTCCCTCCATTCGTCGCGGCCTCTCCAGTTGTTGCTGTATCTCCTCTCGGAAGCGGAGGCGCACCGTGCGGCCCGGTGGGGCAATACAAACTCTACGGGACAGAAATCAATACACTATTCCTTATAGGCGTAGACCACTCACCTGGATGGTGAATTTATCCGGATCGAAATAGAACAAATAGGGGAAGAGGTTTACTGGTGAAGTGTTGCGGATCGTGAAACCGTACTTGGCACGTGCATCCGATGCGAACTGCACCTCACCGTCCTTTACCATGTTCCTTCCTGGCTTGCGATGAGGGTAGTCACCCTGTAAGCGATGCATCTCAAATGCGAACTTGCCCTTGAGTGTATTTACCTCTACCTCATTGGAGCGGTCAAGGAAATAGTTGAAGTGTGCAACACCGTCTATGCCATTGGCAAGGTGGGCAGGGTTGCTGAGGGCGATGCGTATCTCGCGCTGACACTTGCGCATTGTACTGATGTGTGGCTCGATGATGATCTCGTCCTTATCACTCCGCACAACAATATGTGCTTTTGCGATGGACGGCGCCTGTGTGAACTTGTGTATGCGCCTGGTGCGTGTTGGGGGGAACAAGTCGGCGGTGTGCCGGAAGTCGACAGGAATGTACACATACAGGATCATTGGCTCATTCCTCCATTCTGACACCTCAGCGCACGACCCATGGGGAATGCGGATTATGATATCCTCTACTGCCTTCCTAACAAGGATTGTCTGGGCAATCTTCACTGATTGTGCAATGAACATGCACAAGAAGGTATTGTTTGGAGCATATGCAGAGAACTCTGTCCCGGGGACAACACCTTCCACAGTCCCCATTTGCACCTGAAACACCTGCGAGCTATCAGAGTCCTTCCCCTCTGGTGGTGTTTGTGCCATGGAGGCGATGTATGGTGTCAGTGGGACAGAGTGTCGACGGGTTGATGGAGTCTGATTCGGAACTGTTGCATATGTGTTGCTCCCAGAGGGTGTAGTCCACAGAAGAGTGTTGGAACTATCAAAACTATCCACCTGCCCACTGGTTACTTTGTGGTGAATAGGCAGTTGTTTGGTTGAGTCTGTAATATCAATCAATTCATGACCCTCATGGTCTGAAGTCAGTGGAAGGTCTTGTAGTTCCACAGAGTCACTTTCAGAATCATGACTCTGTGTGGAGTCAAAAATGGATCTAATATCTGTCTCATTCTGACTTGAAAGATTCAAGTCTATTTCAGAAGTTTTGCTCTCTGCATCACTCTCATACTCTTGAACAGAAGAACTTGTGTCCGGTTTATGATTCATGAGGTTGTTGGCGACATTGGTGTTTGCATTGGATTCTTCATTTTCTGTCCTTTAGTCTTCACCATATTCAGTGGAATTATCAGAGTCATCTACACTGGAAGTGTGCTGTGTATGATCACCCTCTTGCTCCATAGTGCCAACACTGATGTTGGAATTGATTTCTTGGCTTTCTTGGTGTTCGTCTTCACTATATTCAGCACAATAAGTAGTTGGCAAACCAGATTTTTTGGTTATCTCACCCATCCACAATGATATTCAACTCCACCTGCTGATACATTTTGGGAAGTATATCCTCAAAGGTATGAGTAGCGACAGCGGATGAATTTGGTAAGAGCTCTTCAGATCTTGGTCTACAGAGAATTAAGTTACAAGTGCTTCTCTAGAGAATCAAACACCTACTCCCTCAATAATTGAAGGAATTCA